GCACTTGCACGCTGTTGGTAGGTGTATAACTACGGCACTGTAGTTTATCGATCATGCGAGGATCCGTAGTTGTGTTTGCCTGGCTGTAATACTACTACATAGAAATATTACTATCACTGAAATTGTGACACATCAGTAGTTAAACTGTACTTAAAAGAGAGTTACTGTGTACTTATATTTAAGAATGCTTTAAAGTGCCTAGACGATGAAACTTAATTTAGACGGCATGTCTTATGTATAACAATGTCTTATAATTTCACTGAAAATTTCATCTTTTTAACACTGTCTTCAGCGCAGCGTTTGTGCGGCATTGTTAATGACCAAAGAAAAGGCAGTGGTCATTTTTTTGTCTGAAAAAAAAAATATGCTTGTCCCATTAACCAGGCCTTTGTTGTAGCAATGTCATGCATATAATCCATCGTTGAAAGCTTTCTGCTGAACTCTTATATAATTTTTTTTAAATATTCTTACTGGTGCCCAAACATGTGCGTACACATGGTAAACGCAGTGTAGGGCAAAGCGCCGTCAGCCGCTAAGCTTTCCTGACTAGGCTTATCGATTGTCCCACACTTCATGGCGAGCCAAATGAGAAAAAAAAAAAAAAAGCGTATAAGGTGCGAACGGTGGTACTGAACTAATCGCACATATATGCGGGCTTTTTACTATCTTTCTTTCTTTCTTTTTTTTTTTTGTAGTATGCAGATAACAAAGATGTAAATAAGTAGTTAAGTCGCGCTACAGCAGTGCGTAGCAGGCGGAACACAAGCTAACCACGTACAAATAACGCAGCAAAGGCGTGATTTAGTGCGAAAGCTTGAAGAAAGTAACCCAGGGCGAGCATCTCTATGAAAGGCAGAATGCGCTTTACTCACGGCTAATGTTAACGTTGCATAGTCGTCATGCACTGATTCAGTAGAGAAGAGCATATATATTAAGAGTAAACTGTAGTCAACGCATTTTATCCGCTAACAATCGGCTCAGACCGCACACAACGAAGCGCTGCTGCGTGTTTTTGTATACATGCTGCCGACCGCCTATCCACACTTTTGTGGGAACAATGCTGCCACCTATAGCCCGATCTCGCCGCGAATTGGTTTTCTTGCGACTTTGTGAAACAAACTAGTGGTGGTCAATTATTCTTTCTTAACCCTTCTGCCACCTTACAAGATTCTGCAGAACCGACTTGCAAGAAGGGAAAATGACTGTCAAATTTATCACAAAATGGTGATGGAGCACATTTTATTGCCAGTTTGCACAGGTTCATTCTTCATTCTGTGTTTGAGTACAACTTTAGCATGTCATATCAGTTCCTAATGAAGAGCAAATGGTGAAGTTTCTCTTTTATTGGCGAAGCATCAGAGGAAAGTTATTTTACATGTTTAAAGACATGTACATCGAGCCTTTTTGGCAAGACACACTCAACTTAGTTTTGCCTGAGTGACACAAACAAAAAGAGGATAGTCACATCCAGAAGGAGAATGCTTGACGAGCCAAAAACTGAAAAATATCCAGTGATTGAAGACAAGCTTGCAGAATTTCTCAAGCTCTTCTGTGCAAAAAGAGCATGTCAAAGGAAGGCATGAATTTTGCTGTTGGGCTAGGTGGTACGTGATTATTGGACAAACAATACACAAGGCACAAACGGAAAGGGGCATCACTCATTTGCACATGTTTGATGCGGCCATATATTTCATTGTTTTCCTGCGAATAGAGTTAGTTGCGAGTGACATCCTTTTCTGTCTCTTCTTTCTTGTGGTTGTTGCACATATTGCTTATTCTGGTGAGGTAATGGCCTTTTGACTGGCGTGCAATCAAGGCATATTGAGAAGTGGTCTCAAAGCCAGAAAAACTGAATCATGAAAAGAGAATTGCCAGGAGCATAAATTATAAATCCTAGGAAGATAAACTGTGCTTCTCTCTCCCTCCCTCTCTTTGCCTTTTTTCAGATCTTCAACATATGGACATGCCAGTTGCCTTTAAAAATATAGCAACACCACACATTTAGGATGCACTTTTATGTTGAGCTTGAAAAAATTCATTGCACCTCAGATCAATATCGTAATCTCCCAAAGTTAAAAATAAAGCATGCAGTCTATTGCTGTTTGTAGAGAATAGAACACAATATTTTCTGACAAGTAACATAACTTCCAAAAATCATTCACTGAAGATTTTACTTATCAACACAAATTAAGTAATTAATTAAAAGTTAGCAATGCTATGTGCTTAATTTGCTTAAGTATGCAGCTTTTGTGCCGATATTCAGTGGTGCTTTCAATCACTCAGTGCCTCAGATACTGAAACTTTAGGTATATAACAAGTGATTGTATTACTACAGGCAATCAAAAGCAGGTGCGTATATTTTCTTCTTTTTTTGTGTGCATCCTATTCTTTTTTCTTTACAAACAAGAGTTAGTGTGAATAAGTGAAATTTAGTGATGCTTCAATACTGCCTCAAAATCCTATGACTATTACTAGTTGTATCTGGCTCAAGATGCCTTTCTTGACATGCAGTTTTGCTTTTGAGTTTATTAAGAAGCATACAAACAATAAATAATGTTATACCACTCATTTTTCAGAGCACTGATAGAATTACATAAACACAAAAATTGTGATTCCTTACGTTGGCATTTGCCAGACGAATTAGTTTGTCTTACATTCGTTTTAATGTTCTCACACTAAATCGTCTTTGACTACAACTCCAGGTCATGAAATATACCACTATTTAAATAATTAAATGTATGCTCCAATGAAACTTGTAGATTGTGCTCCACCTTCTTTGACTGGAAAGGCATGACCAACTGCACTAGGTAGTTTGCCACATTGACATCATGCCAATTGCCTATTGAATATGCTCATTTAGCACCAGGGTGCACTTTTCATAATTCTCAAAGATAAACAACACAGCACAAATTACCAGTGTTTTGGCTGAGTGTAGTTCCAGCACACATGGCTATTCAAAGTAGAATACCGATGCACAGACACATTTTCCATCTCAAATAGTTTGACAGTCACCAAGGAAGTCATCCTGGTTTTGAACCAAACATGACAGTGTTAATGAGTAATAGCTTCCTGCAGGTGCCACTCTTTAAACAACACAGATAGCAGATATAAAAATGATCTTTTTCCTCCTGCTCTGTCATAAATACTCGAATCCGGCTATTTAAAACTTAAGTTGAATAATCTTTTATTATAATTTTTCCCAAACAAGATATAAAGGCATTATAAAATCTATGAGTACATCAAGCAAATAGAGCAAGAACACTTTATAAATTGAATATTGGATAGTGTGAAATGCCCTGAGAAGTTGGCTTTCCCTCAAAAAACAATTCAGCTTCTACTTGCAAAAGAAGGCTTGTTTGCAAGCATTTTGGAAAGCGAGCAGGGTGACTAGGAGGGCACCATGCAGAGTAAGTAGGAACTACTTTTTGCCATGGCATGCTTTTTCCTATGACTCCTTGTTGTTATGGCTGTCATGTGCAGTCACTGGCACTGCCATTCACTAATAATAACTGTTGGAGGTTTTACATCCGAAAACCACATTATGATTATGAGGCAAGTCATAGTGATTGGCTTTTGACTATCTGGGGCACTGTAATTTGCACCAAAAGTCGCGTTCAGATTGCAGTTGCATGTCATAAGTGCCACATCGCATAAACAGCTGTGTCCATTTGCGTAGCTTGCAACCATGCATCTTCGCACTGATCTTTTTGGTACAATACATTTTCTACGTAGCACCAATCAACACTCTGAATGTGCATTGTGTCCTCGCCGCAATTATTGCAGCCTAGCAAGGTTCATTTCATTTCGCTTGTTTGGCCATGGCTGGGCTGGTTGGGCTGAAGGGGTGACACGACGAGCACTCTCATTAACACATGTGTTGTCTGCCCTCTGGTTCGGCAAACCAAATGTATATACATGTCTTTAAAAACGAGCATGAAGACGCAGAATCTGGGGAGGCCGCAAGCCCCGCAAACTCAAAGTGAAAACCCAAAGAACTGCTTTACCCATTGGTCGTACGTAACACTCTCATCAGTAGTTGTCATAAATGGGGCTGCCAACATCTATGCCCCAAACATTATGTACTAATTTACGCTAAATACAACGTCTAAACAAGCACATTATGTTGCTTGCGTTTACGTTTATGATCCTTGCCAAGCCCTACGTGGCGCATGTAGTTTGAACGTGGCTTAAACTTAAATCTAAGTAAAAGGACCTCTAGCATTTTGCCTCTGTCAAAATTCAGTCGCTACGATCAAGATTAAATCCTGCTACCTGGGGGTCAGCAGTTACGCCCCATAACTACTAGACCCCAGTGGTGAGCACTGTCCACTACTTTCGCAAATCTCCGCTGTTTTTGATTACATGACGGCTGAAAGAAAACAGAAGAACCTTCTGTTCGCCACAAAGCGGGTGATTATGAATACAGCTGAACATGATGAACAGCCGTCTGATGTCGCCACTTCATACAGCATTCCAAGAAGTGCACCGAGTACGACATTGATGAATAAGGCCGACATTAGGGCCATGGCAAACTAGTGGCTTCTGGCACCCGAAGAGTATGCAAAGTTGTGAATGAACATATTCCAGTATTGTTTACTCTCTTATAACTTATTGTATCTCTCTTATCTTATTGTATATTCTCTTATAACTCACCTTTGCATATAACCCGCACTCTTAACTACAAACTGCAGGAAGACAAGTACAAAAAAAGCTTATTGTCATGAAACCAGCTTCCTTGATTTATTGTGAGGCAATGCCGTAAAGCCAACTTGCACACCGAAATTACACCAAAAATACAGTAAATTCTCTCTTGACTTAATATTAAATTCTCAACATATCTAACTAATTCCAATTTTCGAACGATTTTGATAATTGCAGGTTTAACCGTACAAATGCTTCTACCTGAAAGTTTAGTTCACATTTTACAAAACTGATAGTGCTAACTACCAGCCTCGTATATTAACAGAAGTCTGCAATATAACAGAAAATAAACTGAATACCTCTGTCGAACGGATGCCACAAGGTCGCTCCCTGCCAAGTTCAGCCCCATTAGAAATGTATCAGAATCCTGGCCATTATTTGATGATGACTCATCACTGGAACTTCCATTTTCTCCACTTACTAAGCTGCTCCACCTGAAGCAGGAAAACATTGACACATACAAAGTAACATATGTAATATGCCAACCAAACCAAGAATTCACATGAGGCATTTTTAGCACTCAACAGGAAATTAAAATATTTTTAAAAAGAGAGAAAGATAGGGCATAGGGTGAGTGCTAAACACGCACTGATTCATTTTAAAAACAATGCCACGGTAGATAGACAATGAGTGCACATGTAAGCAGCAGCTGCAGTGAAACGCCCGATTATAGGACTTTCATGAGACCACTCAAAACCGTCGTATAATCTGTGCATTGTATAATCGAAAAATTAAGAATACAGGCAGTGAAATTCAGCCTTACACAAAAAAACAGCTACAGACCGCCTGAATAAGCCCACAACATGACCTTAGTCTGATTCAAGGAAGATAGATCAAGTTAGCCTTGCCAATGGCAGCATTACTTAGTTGAAGCAGGTGTGAGCAAATCTTTATCCTCAAGTTTAAAAAAATTTAATCCATTGCGCATCTTACTCTCAATAAATTCCGAAAATTCCCCACGCGTCAACATGAAACTGAAACTACATTGCCAACAGCCTCTCATCAGAAGAGTTAGACACAAAGTCATCGCCATCACATAATGGTGATGGACCACAACTTCATGACTTTGGGCATAATGCCTTCATGCTTGACTGAGCTGTGCGCATTATCTGTTGCCTTGTGAAGCGCAACTAATGATATCCTTCTGGTAATGTATATTGGCATCCAGTGAAAATTATTTTACACCGTTAAAATTGCTGCATCACGCCCTTTTTGTGTGCTCAAGCTTGTGACCGTGAGTGCTTCAAACCAAGGCAGGAGATCAGCTGTACATCGACCAGAAAAAATTCCATAGACCGAAAACATGAAAGTATCATAATCTCAGAAATGTGCTTTTCGATCGGCTGAAACTACTCTGGATGAAGCTTTTTTAGGTAACGACTCTGCATATGCACACGATCGAGAAGTTCACAGAAGTGCATTAACTGCCAGGAGAATAAATTTTCCATTCTAAGACATCCTGTCTCCATCGCTTACTTTTTTAATCATCAACCCAGGGGTTTTCGAGGAAAACAGCGAGGTAGACGAGAGACCAGGCAAAAAATGACACATACAAGAGCGCCTGGTCTCTCGTATTTTATGCTGTTTCCCTCCAATATGTCATACCAACATGCCCAAGCAACCACTTTAGCAACCTAGAGAAAACCAAGTTGATATTTTGACGTCGTGAGTATTCGGTAAACATTCGATGCGAGTAAAGCTGCGTTTATTTCAAACGAAATCGAAAAGTTGCAAGATGCGAAGTCAGCATAAAACTACGTTGTGTAACCAAGGTTTTTAATACAATATCTCTACGGGGTTTCACCGGGACCAAACCTATTTGTTGTAAAAAGTGGGTCATCACTAAACCGGGGGACACATATAATCGAAGTTCCACTGTATTTAATGATGTAACGCCGTATCGGAAAAAGTTCAGCTGAGCAAGAGATATATGGATGTATAGCAAAACCCCTATGCTACATTTTGGAAAAAAAAAAAGAAAAGAAAAAGCCTGCACTCGGCCGCTCCAAGCTTGAAATACAGCAAAGCTAGTCGATTTCCTGGTGTTTTGTGGCTGCCACTAAGCTTAACTTGGTTGCAGTTAGGTTGAACTTGGCATTGTCTCTTATTCTTCCTTTAATAAGTACTCAATAACATGAGTATTTATTACAAGTAGAAACAGAAAAGAAGCCAATAAGAGCTGATAAACCGATGCTCGCAAGGAGACTTTCAACATACCCTTGTCTTTCCCCTGATGACCAGAAGCCACCAGACATGCAGTCACTCTGACTAGATGGCAAACCGGAGCAGAGTGAGCGTTGATCAAACTGCCCCAAGCTGCTCCACATAAAAGGGTCCACTCCAAAAGCACTGCAACAAAATGAAAAACAGACATCATAACTTACACATTTATGGCTAGAACCAACCAGACCACAAATAGTAACTACCGTATTTACTCGCGTAATGAATGCACTTTTTTTTTTCCTAAAAAAATCGGAGAAAAAGTTGGGGGGGCAATTATTATGTAGAGCAAATTTTATGAAAACTTTTTTTGAGATAAGCAAAAAATGCGATAATCCACAAAAAAAAAGAAGTTTGGTCGCTTTGCCTTTCACAATTGACATACCGGTACACTATTTGGAAACAGCTTCTTTGTTGCACTTCGCTCATCTGCAGTGGTTGAAGGCGTTATTTTTTAACGTGTCCCTGCACCGCCCATGCACTTCATAAAAGCATTTCGCGGCTTTTTTTTTTTTTTTCTTGTATTCACTGAACCACAAAAGTGGTATCTGTTGTAATCTCGAGGAGTGCCCAGAAGAGTGCAATACGACGCACTTTGCCAACTTTTTGGCAACCTCGCACGACGACTGGACTGCACCACCGTCATTTACAGTGCAGCAAGTAACCAACATTTCAGCAAGCTACCGTTGAAGCATCAAAACAAACCGTTCATAACGAGATTATGATTAATGACAAAATACAGCCGCCACCTCGCTGTCCACTTGAGAAGTTACTATAGAAAAGGTAGCCTATATCTTGCATTCCTTGAAGTACGCGCGGATAACAAGCATGAAGAGCAAATTGCAACTGAAGCCAAAATCAGCAGTGCTACCATGTTGCAGAAATCGTCACAATCTTTTCTGGGAGACAAGCGATATTTTCTGGTTTTCCAGAAATCTGCGACGTGATTGCGACGAATGACCCTTCACGACAGCCATGGCGACAGCACATCCTGTCTTCGTTGCTCAAAAATCATGTGGTTGGGCCTTGAAGTTTCGTATTTTCAGGAAACGACCGTCGGTTGGCATGGGCAGTATTGTAATCTTCACTCGTTGTGTGCTTGTCAGCTGTGATGTCTCTATACTCTCACCCTTCGTAAACCCCGCTGTGGTGCACAGATAATTTAAAAACACAAGGGACATGCTGCACACAGATAAGCAAAAAAAGACAGCGGACGAGCCACGCGCAGATGGAAAGAAAAGCAATACGGTGAACGGCAGCAGGCGAGGGAGGAGAGGGAGCGAGTTGAGGTGAGGGGCAGGGGTCCGCATAGTAATGAAAAAAGAAGAGCTCCAATAGGCAAGGAGGATACAGGTGTTGATTAGCAGGACTGCAGCGGATGAATGTAGGGGGTGCAATTATTACGCGGGAGAGAAAAATGCTAGTGGATTATGCTAGTGGATTCATTACGCGAGTAAACTTGGTACTTTAAATGCATACAATGCAGCTTTTTGCAAATACAATTTTCCCTCCAAGAGGCACGACCGCTGGATAAAAAACAAAAGGCGGCCTGCTGTGTCGCATCGCCGTCAATGGGCGAGTGCGTATGGGCAGAGTTGACAGTTTCGGTTGCTCTTTTGGGTAGGGCGCTGACGCTCCACCTGTCGAAGTGGATGGCACTTCGTGTTTCTGTGTGGTTGAGTGAGGATTTGTGCGTGTCCGTGTGCTTTTTCACCTGCTTTCTCGTGCTTATTTTGTGTGCGATCGTCTGTAGGAGGGGGGGGCACTTTGCCTCATGTTTCTTGTGATCGAGTACAATTCTTTTGTGCGTGCATGTGTGGCAGACTGTTTTTTAGGGGTGTGACACAGTGAAGCTGTTGTGTGCCGCTGAGCAGCTGGAACGCGAAAAAAGACGTTACGTTGAAGCACAATAAATTCCCTACGATCTACAGCTTCAAAAAAGCGTATAGGGGTGCATATTATTTGTAACAGAGCACTTATTTTGTCACAAACGAGTGCTGAAGCAGACGCACGCCGCCACCTCCAGACGACAGCATAAAATCACTGTACCAACAGTTTCCTTCAAGGGCGCACGCAACTTAACAAGAAAACAAGCATCAAAAGGCGCCCAGTGTATGCCCTTACCCTCTACACATGCGACAACCAACCAGCACAGATGAGGAGAAATCGAGAAATCGAAACGGGCCTCTTTTGGGGGCTACCGACTTTGCAGATGAATCGGCAAGACGAAACCCTTTCCCCTGGCTGCCACCCTGTTACTTGCTACGCGCAGTACAATTACTTGGAATGTTCACAAAACCGGGAAGGATCCAAACTAGAGGTGTCGGAGGGTAGGACAGGTGGTGAACGTCGGGCCAAGAAGTTACGATGTTTGAGCGGTGTGAGTGAGTCGTGAAGTACAGATGTTAAAGAATCGAGTTATGACGCCGCTGGAGTGCCGCTGAGATGACGACCAGCACTGGGATTCATTTCAGTGTTTCCTTAAAGAGAAATTTTCGAGACACGTTCGAATAATTGTGGAGTACATGCATGCGGTAAATATTTGGGGCCTCTAAGTGTTCTTGCTCAGTTTATGATGCGCGAGATTGCAATTGTGGCACGGTAGGTTTGTTCCCGTTGTTTAAATACATTTCAAGTGATTTTGTGAGTTGTACTTAGTAGCTGCCAAGTCTGCAAGTGTGTGCATTGCCTTTGCTGAGAATACATATTTTGTTTGTGTCGTAAGCTCTTGCTTTTTAACTGGCTATGGATCGCAACCGGCGTTGTTAATGCACTAAAAGAACCAACATTTGAATTGTGTGTGCTTTCGCGGTGCTTTTCGGCGGGCCGATATGTCAGCCTTTGGAACCCGCCCGGCGATTGCCTCCCCAAGTACGGAATCAGTGACCCTTTTTATTTCAGGCGAGTCAAACAGGCAGCATTAATAGAGAGAATGATATTAAGGCCTATACTCCACGAATGATTGGCCCTCCTAAAGCAAACTCTTCACATATGTAGTATAATAGGTACTCCTATTAACGATTCAGAATCGAACCTGTGATGTGTAGCTACGAAACGCATTATTTACGGCCTGATGTATCGCGTAGAAATGCGTGTGAAAGCGTTTCTCCTAGGAGAAGTGGTGGCACCATAGCGAACGCAAAGTGAACTAGGCCCATCCTGCCGCTTCAGCGGCACACAGCAGGCCGCACCTTGTTTTTTTATCCAGCGGCCGTGCCCATGAATACTGCTTGCACGGCCACCATATGATACACTCGAGCCTGCTTATAACGAACCTGAGTGTGGCGCGGCATCCGTTCGCTGTATCCCGAAGTTCGTAGTAAATGAAACAAAGCTTTTAAAAAAGTTGTGAGTGAAAACGCAAACTTTTCTTGCCCCAAAAAGTCCATGATGCACGTGTTTCAAAGAGCAGAAGCAATAAGGGCGGTCTCGAGTTCATTTAAAACAGCAGGGTGCTTGTTCGCCGAGGCCCGTGGCATAAGCTGCATGAGACACTGGCTCCAAAGTTTCGTCGTTCTCGCTATCCGATTCCTCCAAATCGCTCTCGCCACGTACTCCATTCACAATGCCCCAATCCGTGCACAGTTTCGCAGTGTCGACCTCATCGTCAGCCGTAATTAAACCACCACAACAGATGTCCCACCCGCTCTCTCAGGTCGGAGTCGACGACACGCTGCCACAAATCGCCGCCGCAGTTCGGAAGCTTCTGGTTTGGCATCGGGCCCGACGTAGACGAAGTCGGCCTCGCGAAAACAGTTTCGCGCGCATGTAGCCGTCACCGCCGCCCATGAAATATTCACCATCTCCACGCTCAGCTAAATACCGGGACGCCCGAAGCAGCAAGTTGGCTGCCAGGTGGTCAATAGCTATGAGCAAGCGCTCCGCAACGCGGCACCTAACGCGCGGATTACGCTCAAGGCAAGCGGTCACACTTTCGACGTTTTGCTGAGCGGCTGGAAAAAGCGTGCTAGTCCTCCCGTCGGCCATTGTGACCACACACGCACACCAAGAGCGAGCAAGACGCGCACACGCGACACGCATGCCAAAACGCGTGGACCAGCTCTGAGCCCGTTTCCAGTCAGAAAACGAAACTAATTTGAGCCAGCGTGGTGGGCATCGCGGAACGGTGGAGTAGGGCGAAGGGGTTGTGATCAAGAGAGGAGAGCAGACTTGCGAGAGAAGGGCAAGGAGTTGCGATAAAGAGGGGAAGGATGCGGCGGAAGGGCGACCTTGAAAACCAAAACACACGGGAAGGAGGCACGTTGGGCAGCTTGCTTGAAAGGTCTGCGAAACTCGCACGTAAAAAAATCTTGGAAAGAGTGCCTGTGCACGGCGATGTTCGAAGAATCGGCGACCGAGGTGAAAAATCGTTTTGTTGCACCGGCGGGTTGGCGTGGCCTCACGAACTTTGATATTTCGCGATTCGTTCCGCGCAAATGAACAGCCGATTACATGCGCGGAAGGCATGCTGAGCCAAGGGCGAAGTGAGCGAGACAAGTCCTAAGCACGAAACGAATCGTAAATTATCAGAGTTGGCGGGGTAGCGTACGCGCATGCACTAGACGTCGAATATCGATACAGTCGGTGGCCGACGATGTTGGTAAATGGTCTGGTCACTCCAGGCCGGCGACACCAACGACAGTGCCAGCGATCAAAAACAGGGTAGATGGCTGACCGGTCTTCGAAAGATCGGGGGCAATGTGAAAACACGGGCCTCGTCTGGCGATGCGGAGTGCTCAGAGTAGTGGGCGGACAAAGGACGGAGGGGTGCTTAACAAAAAGCAGTCGAGGCATGGAGGAAGGAGACAGCTTTTCTTCCTCCATGCTCGGAGACGTTCGTTGTAAGGGCGATTTTGTGCCATTGAACCTATGTATATTTTGACGGTCACGCGGATATTGTTCGTTTTAAGCGAAAGTTCATTTTAAGTGGGGCCGTTATATGTGGGCTCGACTGTACAATATCTAGTTGAACCTCGGCATAACGAACACATACAGGCAGCACTTAGTCACACTGCGAAATTCTGTTGCATTGAAATTTCCGTTATGTTTCATGAACAATATAAACCTTCCAAGTTTATATAATATGCCTGCATTTCCTTAGTAAGCATGCTGAAGTGTAGCAGCTCAAGAATAAAAAAAGGAAGCATGCTGCCCACAAGAGCAGACATGAAACTATAAGTGGAGAAAAAATTATGGTTCTCTCGCATGACCATGCAAATATAGCACACAGAGCCCATACCAAAAAAAAAACGACAGGTAGCAAAGTGGCAAAGTAAACAAATTGTCCGACATTTTCTGATGCATATGTGCACATTTCTACACCAAGCTGAAAATGAAATGAAAATGGCAATGCTTCATAAAACGCTGTGCCTGCTACCAAATGGACCCAAGCATCCTTAAATAATTGTTCATAGTGTGTCACTGAATGTACTGTACATTCGTGCGCAGCTGCCTTGGGAAATATCTGTGTAATGACGTTTCCTTGTGCTTATGTCACTCGTGGCAGTGCATGGGAACAGCGCATAGTTTGTGAGCTAAACTCTGCAAAGTTGTGCTAATACAGTAGAATCTCGATGATACGAATTTGAAGGGAGCACGCAAAATATTCGTATCATTCTGAATTCGTATGAACCAAAAACAAGTTAAAGCTGATAATAAAGATGAAAAAGAACTTATTGGCAACTACTACTTGCTGAAAAGAAGTCCATGATGTTCTTTTGAACTTTCCTGCTTTTACAGTCACTCAATAAACAGGGGTGCGACAGCCAAAATAGAATTTGGAGCAATTTTCGGAGCAGCAAAATTTAGCTTAAAGAGCACTAAAATGCAAATTGGGAGCAGGTACCACAAAAAAAAAAAACATTTTTTATCATGAAAGACAAAATTTGAAGCAGTACAAAAAGAGAAGGCTTACATTTAGAAAAAAAAAGTATGTACAAACCATTCAACATCGCATGAATCGTGCTGAGTAAACATGTGCGATGCTATTTCAATAAAAGCAGTATTTTGAACCACCCTCCTAAGCAAACAATGATAAAGTTCACATCAGCAATTGCTGCATCTTTCAAATACTTTGACAGACTCAGTTAATTCAAATGTGGATCTGCCAAGCTGGCGACCTTGAAAAATCAGGGGATTAGTGAAACTGAGGAGTAGCGGTGGCAAAAGAACAAAAACTGATGCAGTTTTTTTTAAGGCGCCAGCAAATACACTGCTCCAAATGATTGCACGTAACATTTTTAGAAGTCAGCAATCATACTAGCACTCACAGTTATGTGGCATATACACGCATGAGTAATTGAACAAAATGAGCTGTGTCTAGTAATAGTGCGAAGAGCCTAGGCTTGTGTTAATATTCGTATGCTTCAAATAGTCAAACGAATAGTATGGTGTTCGCATTCACTTTGATTCTAATTTAAATTATTGAAAATTTCAAAGTATTCACAAGGAACGAATAAATGCATACTGTTCTGAACATACCGCCTGTAAAGGTGGTTTCACTGCAGTGTAGGAGTGCTCGGCTATAAAAACATTTATCCAAAGAAAATCCACTCTGCCGCGAGGCCCACCTTCAAATTTAAAGGGTCCCTGCAACACTTTCTGAACATTGCCAGAAAACACTGCCGATCGGTAGTCAAGGCTACCGAGGACATGCAAGCCAAATATTATAACACAGCACGCGGCGTGCAATTCACAAATTCTCAAAGTAAACTAAAAATTGCTCTCTTGGCAAATGACTCCACAAGCTCAGAAAGCGCGTGTGACGGATTTTCTGTCCCCGTGCCATCCCTCCTTACTTAGCTTGCAGCACTTTCGTCAGGATGAAAAGAGAAAATGCACTTGCAGTGCGTGAGAAATCTTTGCAACTCTGCACGTACTGGACGGATTCTAAAAATATTTGCGGCAATGAATTCATGAGCCAATAAGCTTCTTTAGTGAATCCATTCCATGACTACTTGAAAAAGTGTTGCCCGGCCCCTTTAAATGAAAATATTGCTCTCACATCAATTATTTTATTAAGCTTAAAAGCTAGTTATGACAGCTTATATGCAATAAGTATAATAAATTTGAAAATATTAATGCATTTTAAGAGTAATGACTCGCATCCTGCTGAAAGCAAAATCCTAATACTACTCAAAGTTCTTTCGACTCCCTTTGAATAAGAAAAAAATGGCATTTGCATAGAGGCTCTATTTCATTTTTTTTTTTTTTTTCAATATTGTGCAGGTTAGTTGCGTCATAATAAGTATGCCTATTTTTTTTATATGTCATATATACTACTCGAATTGGATTCGAAATTATTTGACCAAAATCACTATTCGCTTCGAATTTGCTTCGAACCTAAAATGCACTACTATTAATACAAGCCGATAAGAGCCCCTTCCAAATTATAAATCGGTTTTCCGCAGAGTAATGGTGTAGTGCGGCAAAGGCGGCTTAACCAGTGTTCTGCACAGGTTAGGGCAAAGCCAAGAAATTTTCAAACCCTGCTACGCCCCCTCCCACTCCTATTTTTTTTTAATTTTTTTTTCACCATGGGGTTCGGCCTAGGCCACAACTTCTCAGCTCACTTGCAAGACGCGTTCTACTAGATAAAGTCACTGCACGCACCTCTTGATCCGGCGACAGCATTAGTTATTTTTCGCCAGGACAACGCAATTAACACAACTTAAAGACGGAAAAAAATATTTTATGTGCCTTTACTATGGCGACCAACATGGTCGCTGGCAACGCAGTCATTCGCAGCATGTCGATTCTGTTCACGCTCGAAAAACGCGGTATGTGCTTCCAGCCCTAGGTTCTATATGCGATAGCCACATTTGCCGATTAGGAAGTTCCTATTTCCCCCGAAGCGTTCGTGACTACGGCAACCCATTTTGTCTAGAAGTTGCATCGTCCTGCCAATAGGTATCCGCTGCGGTTCACGAACCGATGGGCACGCGGCTTTGTTACTTTAGCTGGTCGATCGCATCTAGAGAGTGCCCCGACCTAATGGGAATATATTTGAACATGTGGTTTAGGGTTAGGGTCTGCGCGCTTGTATTGATTGATGACGCAAAACTGCAGATGAACAACGTGGCCTCTATGTCTTGCTGAAATTAGTGCAACTGAGCACTAATTTCAAGAAGTTAAGAGAGGTAGAAAAACACTAATTAGTGCTTCTCCTCCTCTCCCAACTTTTGTGGAAGCCCAACTGATGTGGCAGACAACGTTGTGCTGCAATCTGCCTTGTAGACGTCAATATACAAGAACATTTAAAATTTTGAATGCTAGAAACCTTCGACGTCCAATGTTTCAGACTTTCAGCCTAAATTTCAGGTCCAAAACAGCATTAATTGAGTCCCCATCACTGCGACGTCTATCTTCTAAATGGTGGAACCAGCGTTTTCTTGAGGCGATGCATTTGCAACCGTAAAAAATCCTAATAAGCAGTTTTGCCGCAATACAGGAGTGTGATAAGGAGAAGCATTTAAAAATCTTAAAGGGTTTGCATTTAAATTTTACCATAACAAAGCTTAAAACGCAGCTTTGCTGCAATACGAAAATGTAATCAGGTGTAGCATATTAAAGAAGATCTAAAGGGGTCATTTTTAATTGAATGTTGACTGCATTTGTCTTTGGGAAGTTCGAAAAGCTAGAATAGTAAAAACTTCAGTGCAAACTGAATTGAATAGTAAACATTATTTGAAAAATATGCAAAATTTCTATTATTCGCACACCCTTAGAACTTGGCGACGGTGATGCTGCTCTTGTCTCTGCAGGCAACATCCACTCGAAACGCTGTCACGCAAGTAGGTGGCTACTAGTGGAGGCGTGACAAGCTTGAGTTGTTGCCAGTTAAAGGCATGCAGTATGCTTTACAATGGCACTAATCCAATGCCACTGATAGTTGAAGACGCTTATCAGAACAGGATTGTCAGTGATAATTTTTACTTAAGTGCTTGCCAGTGGACGCCATCATTCATGTATGACACAAGCCACCACGTGTGTTAACTTCTCTAAGATGAAAAGCCAGCCAGCGCGGCAAATATTTCATCATGCAGTTTACCACAAAGTCTAGATTTTCAGACACAAACCACAGCTAACGCTGTCACTTCAAAATGAAGTTTAAGCTTCTAAGAACAAAAAAAGAACTTGTCCCATGCACTACCCGACTGTACCACGCTAAGCCACCAGATAGGGTGTTCTGCCAACCACTGCCTTGCACGTGCGCCAGTGACGTCACGCTGAGACGTACCCCGGTAGAGGTCTATTATTTGCTTGGCAGTGAATGTAGCTTAGTGGTTTAATGCTACTGGCGCTGAAGGACCACTTCAAATGCGTGCCAAGTTTATCGGTGAAAAAAAAATCTGCCTTGATTGACACAACATTCGAAGCAAGGTACTATTGATAATCAGTCACCTAAGACCCTGCTGGGCACCACTTGTAGGCCGTGGCCAAGTGCGCTTGCCACTACAGCTACCCAGGGCAGTGGCTGCAGGCGGAGGCCACACAGCGAGAGCTGCTTCTCGCAGAAAGCTTTTAGGACAAGCGGATGCTGGGCTTGGGTGTGGTGCAGCAGACAGCAGGTTTATCACGTCCTCCAGGTCACCCCCTGTGTCAAGAACTCCAAGGAGCCCACTCTCTGCAAAAAGACAATGATATTCAATACTTTTCTTGATGTCGGTGCTTGCATAATTTGACATTCAAAAACACAGAATAGCAGATATTAGTACTTGCTTGAATGAGTGGCTATAAAAAACACACTTGCTGAATTTGCTTTTATTCCAACAGGAATACACTTTCAGCTCCTTTTTGCCCCGCGTGTGTGCGTGCGTGTGTATAAAGAAAATAACTGAAAGAAAAATAATCAAATGGGCGACCTCTCACTCCGCAACGCTTGGCCACAGCAGCGCGCATACTAACGGTGAGCTATTTATATACACCATTTACTGCTGGTCATACGCCAATCTTGGGCAAATGCCAGCTGTTCTCTGTGAACCTGAGAGATGGCGCAAAGTGCACACACGGCGCCCCACTCATCCCGACGTGCTGGCTCATAACCTCTAGTTTGCCTTACAAGGCATAATCGCCCGTGTGCATGCGTGCGCACTAATCTTTTGGCAGGGGCAGTTTGTACATCGTTCTTTCACCAGAGAGATTGCGTTTGTTACAGCGTGTGCAAAGGAGGTCACTTCTCTTGTTGTGTTAGCAAAAAAAGCTCACTGTTCAAACACAATGAAGTAACAACTGTGGTGACACTTGTTTGTGCTCTTCCTGCATATACCGGTGTGTATGTGTTGTGTGTCATTTGTGTTCGAGAAGCATGTTAAGTGTCGACCTGTAAATAATTGTTAGTATGCACTCGTCCTGTGTCTGTTCCTTTCATGCATCCTTCGTGCTTTGGCAAAGCGCTCCAAATTTCTATGCACTTGAGGAAATTTGCATGTCATCCTAATTTGTTGCTATTGCATTTATTGCTTCTCCCTTGCAATAACTCATTTTTTAGGCAGGCTTTGCTGGTGATGTGTTCATCTAGATCTGAGGTGCACTTATGTAATGTGTCATTTAACGAGCAGCATCACAGTAGAATACAATATTTACTCGCGCAATCATCGCACTCACAAAATTCTCACACCCCTGTATTGTCTACCAAAAATAAGATTTCCTATTTCCGATAGTAGTTATTGCACCCCAAAAATCGCAGCCATAAAGCAATATGAAGGTTCGGTATTGTCAAATCCACTAGACATTGTCAACACATTTAGTGAGTACTCCTCCCCTATCCCTGTTCTGCCCAGCGTGCATGACGAGCTTGATCATTGTGGTCACTCATTTTTTCTTTTTCTTACTACACCTGATAAAGTAATAACCACAATTGTTAGCATAAAACCCTCTAGTGCAGGTATTGACAGTATTTGTGCTAACCATGTGAAGATAATTGCTCGTTATTGCAGATGTACTCACCTACATAATCAACCCAATTTTTTAGTCTGGTGTATATACCCATGACTTAAAATTAGTAAAATTGTTCCAGTATTTAAGAAAGGTGACAGAGGCTCAACTTCTAATTACAAACCAATATTCATTCTTCCCCTTTTTAGCAAAATAATTGAAAAGCTCATCCATGTTCGACTGTCCAGCTACCTCACGAAATTTCACCTATTGCATCCGAAACAGTTTGGGTTTAGACAAGGATATTCGACTAACTTAACCCTCATTTACTTTACAGCAAAAAAATGCAAACTACAAATAGACAAGCGTAACTTCCTTGGCTATCTTTTTCTAGATTTTACTAAAGCATTTTATATGCTTAATCATGACATTCTCTTTACTAAACTATCATCTTATGGCATTGCAGGCAACTCTCTCAATCCTTTCGCAGTTACTTTCACTTTCACTTTTATTCCTTAAAGACCCCGCCAGGGGGTATTACATAATGGTGGGTTACAATATATACAACAGGTGAACACTTTATTATATGGTATAACGTGATGTGATCGCTTCAATGAAGGCAGTAGGGCTTGAGTTAGCGATTTCTTGTGTAAGGTCGTTCCAGTCCTTGGCTGCTCGAGGAAAAAAAGAATATGCAAAGGCGACTATGCGAGCTTGAGGACGGGCAACGTTTAAGGGGTGACCAATGCGATAGGATATGATGGTGGCAAAATATACGGTGCTTGATTTAGCGCGCTGTGGTAGAATTTATGAAATAATGATAAACTAGCAATGTGGCGTCGATTAGAAAGTGTTTGTAAACCGGATTTCGATTTCAAGGATGTTACGCTGATATCGTATGAAAAGGCGGAATGAATGAAACGAGTGGCACGATTCTGAAAAGCCTCAAGGGCGTTTGTGAGGAATATCTGGCGAGGATCCCAAATGGCTGATGCGTATTCTAGTTTGGGCCGTATTAGTGTTTTGTAAGCTAGTAACTTGACATGTTGTGGAGCGCTTTGTAAATGACGTCGTAAAAACCCAAATGTTTTGTTAGATGATGCAATAACGTTGTTCACATGCGCACACCAGTCGAGATTATTCGATATCGTCACACCTAAGTATTTATATTGGCATACGGTCTCTAGTTGCTGGTTTGCTATTTCATATTTGAATTTTAACGGGTTAGGACTGCAAGAAAACAACATTGTTTTGCATTTACCAGTATTTAAAATCATTAACCAGCATTGACACTAGTCCTTAATGTTGTGCAAGTCCTGTTGAAGAGCAGACTGGTCAGTAATGTTAATAACTGAACGATAAATCACGCAATCATCGGCAAACATGCGGATTTTGCAAGTAACATGCACTGGTAGGTCATTATTATATATATTAGAAAGAGTAGGGGGCCTAATACCGAACCCTGAGGGACGCCAGATTCTACTGAAAGAGGCCCAGAGTTGTTGTTATTGACGCGCACTGACTGCAGGCGGTTAGTGAGGAACTGCTCAATCCATGTTAGAACTGCGGGGTTTATATTCAGTCGGGAGAGTTTTAGTAGTAAGTGTTGATGAGCAACTTTGTCGAATGCTTTCGCGAAATCAAGAAAAATTACATCAGTTTGAGTGTTAGCGTCTAGATTGAGGTGCAGGTCATGGAGAAAGGCAGCTAATTGTGTTTCGCAGGATAGTCCCTTGCGGAACCCATGCTGAGAATGGTGAAAAAAATTTTGAGAATCAAGGAAACTAATTATATGAGTGTATATGACATGCTCCATGATCTTACAAGGCACTGATGTGATTGAAATGGGGCGGTAGTTTAAGGGCGAACTCTTGCTGCCTGATTTGTAGACTGGAACGACTTTGGCCATTTTCCACTCTTTTGGTAGGTTTCCAGATGACAGTGACTGGGAAAACAACAGCGTTAGATAAGCCGCGGAAATGAATTTGGTGTTCTTCAGAAACTTCGATGTGATTTCATCTAAACCTGCGGATGATGACAGTTTAATGCTGGCAATTATGTTTGAAATGCCATCTATCGAGAAGGTGATAGGGGGCATTGTAGCCTCAAAAGGTGTAAGAAACGTAGGTAATAATTCATCAGGTTCTTTGGTGAAAACAGAGCAAAACGCGGTGTTAAATATGTTAGCGGTGTCTTTATCTGATAGCATTTCACCCTGTTCGTTGGGTAAAGTGCGGGTTGACTGTGGGTTGATGGTTTGCCAAAATTTCTTAGCGTTTTCAGTAATCATCTTAGCCAGGTCATAGTGAAAGAAGGTGTACTTGGTTTGCCGGATAGCGGTAAGATATGTATATTTAGCTTCGTAGTACTTCTTCCATGAATCGTGCTGTGGGTTTTGTTTAGCCTGGCGAAAAAGGCGCTTTTTCTTGTTTTCAAGTTTTTTAAGGTTTTTTATGAACCATGGTTAATGCCGGTTAGCATTGATTGATAATATTGGAATGTATTTATCTGTTAAATATGCTATTTTTTCTTGGAAAACAGACCAGTTTTCATGAATGTCGCGCTCTTGAAATGTGGCTTTGTATTCCTCGTAAAATTGTTCAAGTTCGTTATTGATCGCTAAGTAATTCCCTTTATTATAGAGACGAATGATTTTCTTATGTGACTGACGCACCGGCTGGGTTAGAGAAAAAGTGGCATGAATTACTTTGTGATCACTTACTTCTTTAAGGTAGGTGATGGAAGACAGTGTTTCAGGGCTTGAAGACAATACTAGATGAAGGATGTTAGCACTATCCAGCGTGACACGTGTTAGCTCGGTTACCATTTGAGTGAGGTTGAAGTTTAAGCAGACGTTTATGAATTCTTTAGATTCCAGATTTCCAGAACTTAGTGTACGGTTTGACCAAACAATGTTGGGGTAAATAAAATCTCCGAAAAGTAGAAGGAGCGGGTTCGGGTAATTTTTGACTAACTGGCCTAAGATGTTGTTTAATTTCGTAGAAAAATCTGAAGAATTGTTTGGGGGGCAATAGCACACACCAATGAGAGCAAGTTGTGGCTTGGAACGACATAGGATCCATAGAATTTCCAGGTCGGAACGTATATCAATGGTGCAAAATGCAAGTTCTTTTTTAACGGCAATGAGGACACCACCACCTCTGCTTCCCTGCTGATCTTTGCGGATTAGTTCGAAATTTGGCAGGTCTTCCAGTATTTTCGAATCAAGAACATCGGCATTAAGCCACGTTTCTGTTAATATGAACAGGTTACTCCCAGACGATGAAACAAGGTTTGATATCGCATCTCGTTTGAAAGAATGCTTCGTATGTTAGTGAAGATAACCAAAAAAGACGTATGCGCACGAGCAGCACGCGTAGCGTGGCAGAGCGTTTTACTACGGCGAGATAGCTATGTTAGTTCCTCGACACTTTAAGATGACTCGTTAAAAACATATCGCTTCGAGTTGACGTGCAGAGTTTTTATAACGGAGCAAGTAAGGAATGGATTTGTTTTTTGCAAAAGCAGTGAGATGCTTTCGCGCGTTTTGCACTTGCCGGGAGAAGTCTTCGCTAATGCCGAAAGGAGTGCCCTTTAATTTACGGCCGTTGGATAGTATCGCTTCCTTGGTTTTATAAAGATTGAATTTTACAATAATTGGTCGGTTTTGACCTTCAGTGTGTCTACCCAGTCGATGTGCTCGCTCAATTATTTGAGGGTCTAATGTGAAGTTGAGGTGTTCAGCGCAGT